GTGAAATTTTATTTCGAAGATTAGGACTCTGTCGAATATTCATTAACTTAATCTCATTAACCTACTCTAGATTTCTTGATACAAATATACATTATTTTATTTTATCTTCATATTTAGAAAAAATTTTCATTTATGTAAATTATTATTTTTGTAAATTTTTGTTATACTTGAAGAGAGAGCATTTACCTTTTCTCTTATGGCTTAAATAAGCGTGATTTGTCTTATTCTCTCACAATTTCCGTTTAGTCTTCTTATCCGCAGTTTCTGATCGAATTATGAAATTGCTGAGCGAAAGCGTTTAGCTGTATTTGCAAAAATTCTTGCAAGCTAATAATAATGAGAAAGACAATCTTTAATCTTTTATATAGATGTAAAAAATAGTTTAGAATTCTAAAAAAGTAATAAAGTCATCCTTCTGTCCATCGCAACGATAAATATTTCGGATGATTTAAATGTAATGTTCCCGAGCAATTCGAAGTTTATCTTGAGAATTTTGACAGTTTTAATAAACGTCACATACCAAGTAACGTCCAATTTCCAAGCGCAAGACGCGGTGTCGCGCGTTTATAATTTTCCGATTACCAGATGCCGCGTCACGTAAAGGTGACACGCATCGTTATTATGTAGTTCTCGAAAGGAGATCAGCAAAGAGGTTTCTCATTGCGACGATAATTTATAGCCGTTTAACTCTCGGCTCGGCTTCTCAGTTCGCACGATACTCCCGACACGCGAATTACGTGAAACGGTATATACTGTATGTGTATATGGGGCAGAAATTCAATGACGATTCGCGGCGACGGCATCTCTCTTTCTCTCCTTTTCTCTTTCTTTCTTCGAGGAGCGAGAGATGGCCCGCTAGCTACATAATGACGGTGGACACGCGACAGGACTTATCCATTATTCATCGTCCGAAATTTCTCATTTTTCGTGAATACATATAATTTCGTTCTACCAGCCGGAGTAGCCTACCGGGAACTCACCTTTCGTTCTGATACACATAGTCGACCCTTCAAATACGAGAAGTATTAGCGACATTTAAACGCTTTCTTGTCTCCGTGAAAAGGGATGACCAATTTGCCAAGAATAATCTCTCGGATACTTTGTAAATCCTCGAGCTGCACACATTTCTGTTCTTTCCCGTTTTCTTTAAATTGAGACACACAAAATATCTCTCTCGAGAGACCAGGTATTAATCCTTCGAAGGAGGAATTTTATTATTTATGTCAATGGAGGTTTTCTAAGTATAGATTTTATTCGACGTCAACAAAATAATATATATTAACATTTATGTGTGCAAATTTTGGCCTAACTTTAGCACTTGTCATTTACTTTCTACTTAAATAAGTAGATTTAAATTTTAAATATAAGCGCGATTCTCCTCTTATTCCCATAATTTCGTTATTATCGCGTAGTGTTTTGCCAGTCTTGTTTAATTAATTAATTGATTAATATATACGAGTCTCATGGTATGTCTCACGCGTAATGAACACGTTTTATCCGTGTTTAAGATTAAAACGTGTAATATACGTATGTTATATAAAATACATCGTCAGATCAGAGTCGCATGTTAATCATCCGAATGCAAATCAAAATCGATTCCGGTGGCGCTTATCGCGCTCATCGATCCGCGACGAGAGACCGTTCCTCCCAGCATCAACGAAATCCGTATCACTCCGATACAGCGGTGATGCAATCCGCGGCTCGGTATTCTCCTCGTCCCCCCTCCCCCCCCCCCCCCCCAAAATCTCATACCCGG